TTTTTTTTTTTTTTTTTTTTTTTTTTTTTTTTGTACCAGGGATTGAACTTGGGTCCTTGTGCTTGCAAAGCAGGCAGCGGAACCACTGAGCTAAATCTCCAGCCCTCCTGAGAGGTATTTTTTTGTCATTAGGTTCTGTCTGAGGAGATCTCTGAGGCCGAAATAAAGAATCTAAACCACCTTTTTGCAGAATTAAATGTTGGGGTGCCTGCCACAGAAAAAGAATTTTCATCCAGGTGAGGCAGACGGTACCCATTTATAATCCCAGCACTCAGGAGGCTGAGGCAAGAGGACTGTAGTAAAATCAAGTCCAGCCTGAACTACACAGTGAGACCTTGTCTCAAAAAAACAAAAGAAAAAAGAGAAAACAAAAGGCCAGGCGTGGCGGCACAGGCCTGTAATGCAGGAGGCTGAGGCAAGAGGATCACTGCAAGTTTGAGGCCAGCCTGGAGTACATAGTGAATTCAAGGTCAGCCTGAATGACCTAATGAGACTCTGTCTCAAAAAACAAACAAAAGAAAATTTTAGGGTGCATAAGTAAGAAGCGTAGGAAGGGCTTGTTGGACAGAGATTTTAGGACACAATATTGGAGTGTGCTCAAGATTGGGTGCTCAGAGATATGGGACACATTGTTTCCTGGAACAGGGAACATATGCTTCTCTTGAAGGGTTGAAAATGACAGGAAAATGTGGCTCATCCCCTAGAAGGGCACCAGTCCATTCTACAGGTATGGAGAGTTTTTTGTAAAAAAATAATTTAAACATTCTTTGGATTCTTTTGACCTACTCCTTTATCTTAGGATCAGGTTCCTGCTCTTTATTTTCTGAGTTAAGCCAATTTAGTATTTGTTTTAGTATGACTTTTAGTATTTCTGAGGAATTTTAGGCATGATGGGTCTGTGAGGGAAGGAACCTAAATTTACACCCACCCCCATGCTGATAATGGAGTCCATTAAATAACTTCGGCTGGGTTTTAGAAGTTGTAGTCATCTTTAAAAATAGAATTTTTATTATGATTTTCCCTGTCTCCTTTTTACCTTTTATTTCTCCTATCCTACCTCACTTTTTAGTTTTCTTCTGTTGCTACCCCAAATACTTTGCAGCCACCGCATCAGGCACCCAACAGAGGCTCTGACCATTTTGCTTAGGCTGAAGTGTTATGCCCAAGTCACAAGTCCCCAAAGACCACCAAGGAGTCAGGTCTGATGCAATTGCAAGAGGAGTTTATTGCAAGCTCGAGCCTGGCCCCTCAGGTGTCACCATCACAGCAGCTTCAGACTGAGAGCCCAGATCCATTTTTGAAGAGGGTTTATATAGAATTAAGGAAACTTTTTGCTTATATAGTTTCTATTTTTAGCTCTCACTTATCATTGGATAGTTAAGGGATACTGGGAGGGCTTTTACATATCATTGGATATTCAAGGGGCACCAGGAGGACACTTATTGGAAAATTACCTAATGCCTACATTTGTAAAATCAGTTCCTCTTTTTATTAGATCATCTGATTTTGCAAGCTAAGATATCAGTAGGTGGCTATCTATCAGCTATAATTTACCTAATGCCTACATTTGTAAAATCAGTTCCTCTTTTTATTAGATCATCTGATTTTGCAAGCTAAGATATCAGTAGGTGGCTATCTATGTCAGCTATAATTAATTCCTATGTCAACTATAATTAATTCCTATATTAATTAAATCAAACAAAAATAATTTTATCTTAACATCTTAAAAAGAGGAACAGAAGCAGGGTGGAGATGCCCTAGGGTAACTTGCCCTAAAAGAGGAACAGAAACACAGAGAGACTGTCACATAGAATGGAATTTTACAGAAAGGAACTTTTACATTTACTCTATTTTGGGTAAGGGGCATGGATTCCACCTTGACCTGAAAACTTGGTCCTCACACAAGGAGACTTTAGTCTTGGACCAACCCAAGATAACTCTGCCCTTCTGCAGTCTTCCTCATGTAAGTCCTCAAGGGTCCCCTCCCCATGACCAAACTAAGTCTGACACTATACATTATAAGCCCACCATATTGTTGCTGCACCAACAACCTCCCCATACCCTTAGTGGGTTCATTCCATGTGTCGTTTTTCTTTATGCTGAAGCAGAATCCCCCCCCGACCAAAAAAAACTCTTCTCAATGGCATATTTTTACCTATTCATGATTTCTGTCTCCAGTAGAGCACACTGACCTGGTACGCTAGGAGCTGATAACACCAAAGATCACTGGCAGTTGAGGCTAGTAACACCAAAGGCATCGAGCAGTCTGAGAAGTACAGAGAACAACTGAGAATTGCTAGAGCTGTCAACTGCAGTGGCCAAGAGAGTTCTCAAGGTCTGCCAGGAGCTGCTGGCTCTGAATGGCAAGAAAGGCCACTGATAGTGTGAGATATATGTATACAAATATATGTCTTGATCTCCAGGACACAAAACTCCTAAAGCCCCAGTGACTTCCTAAGTAATAAGAGTGCAGCCTGGTGTGGTGGCGCAAGCCTGAGTTCGAGACCAGCCTGGGCTACATACTGAGCTCCGGGTCAGTCTCAACTACATAGTGAGAACCTGTCTCAAAAAACAAAACTACAAAAACAAAAACTAAGTAATAAGAGTGCTAAAAGAGTGTCATCTGTTATTCATAACAAGTCTCTTTAGACTACACCTAAGTTTATGGTATTGAGATAACTTTTGGAAATGCCCTGGGGTGAGGCCTGGTTGCTAGGGGGATTCATTTAGGAGGCTGTAACTGTTTGCCCCATCCCCTATCCTCCCTAGATGGGAGAGCGCCTAGACACTGAGTTCAATTACCAATGGCTAATGATTTAGTCAATCATACCTGTGTAAAGAACCCTCCATGAAACACACACACACACACACACACAGACTCACTCACACTCGCAAAGAACTTCTGGGTTGGTGGTGAATGTTTGAGGTGTGGGGTTAACTTAACATTTGAAAATCAATTACATTATAGCCCATATGGTGACACATGCCTATATTTCCAGCTTCTTGGAGACTGAGGCAGGGGGCTGAGGCGTGAGGATGGCAAGTTGGAGACCAGTCTATGCAACTCTGTGAGACCTTGTCTCAAAATAAAATTTTAAAAGGGCCTAGAATGTAGCTCAGTGATAGAGTGCTTGCCTAGCATGTGTTAGACCCTAGGTTCAATCTAGCACAGCAAAAAATAAGTAAATAATTATTGATAAGTAAATAATAAGTAATAAGTAATTTTAAATTAAAATTTAAAAATAAATAATAAAGTGTTTTGTTCATTATGAACAATGAAATATGTATGTGACCTTGTCTTAGAACTACAACCTATTCTTAACTAATTATTAAAACAAACAAAAAAAACAAATAAAAAAATATATTTTGTATATATGTGTGTGTGTGTGTGTGTGTGTGTGTGTGTGTATTTTTTTTTTTTTTTAAGCCATAACTATTTCTGGATAGAAAAAAAGGGAGTTTTTAGTTTTGTTTTGTGTTTTGGTACCAGGGATAGAACTCAGGACCTTGGGCCGCAGGCGCAGGGCCACTGAGCTAAATCCCCAGCCTCAAAAGGGAGAATTTTGAGATAGCTCCTAAAGAGGAACTCAATCTGTCGATAGCTTTAAAACATATTCCACACTCCCTTGATTTTGCTCTCCTCCCTGTCCTTAGATCTCATTTGGTCGACTTGAAATCTCGCGAGAGGTCAAGTTCTCGTGAACTCTCCCAGAAGCCACCGCTCTTCCTCTTCCTGTAAGCGGCCAGAGGTGAGTGTTGTATTCTTTTTCTCTGTGTGTTTAATCCTCTGGTCATCTCTACCATCCTTGCCCTATGAGTGGCGGCGTCAAGTCCGCCGAGAGGGGACATCTTAGGGCTTCGATTCATCGCTTGAAGAGGCGTCCCTTTGCGGAGGGAGGTGGCAGAGCGCCTGGCTTATTTCGCTGAGGCCGGCCGGTTTATGCGGCCTGCAGAGGAACGTGATGAGCGGGAATAGGGAAGGCAGGGCTCATTCGCTGCTGTGGGCACTGGTACCCTGTGATGTGTCTCGCCTCCGGCTGTGGAGCTCCAGTGTCTCGCGGCGAGTAGTAAATGGGTAGTCGTGCTTTTGTGGCCTTAAAGCGCAAAAGTCTGGAGCAAATAAAGTTCGGTGGAGACCTTACCCATTTCACGGAGTGCTGCACATTGGATGACTCTTGGCGTGGGCAATAGGCCAAAAGTCTAGAAAGCCTGCGTTACTCTGAAGCTGCGTGAGTGAAGGAGGCTTCTTTCTATGCAGATCGAGGAAAGTTGGCCTTGAAGTTTGCCATGCACACGTGGCATGTTGCGCTTAAAAGAGCTGGAGTTGGCTTGAAACAGTCTTGTGTTCCTGAGAGAAAGGAGAGGCCTGATGAGGCCCATGTCACTGGTAATCAGTGCTGTGTACTGGTAGGAATATTCAGAAGGGAAGAGAACGCTGGCTAGAGAAAAGCATGGTTGAGGTGATGACGTTTCTTAGGACACCTTTGGATTAAAAATGAAAACAACTACTCTCTCAGCAGCCATCGCATCTGTACTTCGTTACTCCAAGTATGTGTTACTGACTGAAAAGTGCTGTCTTCCAGGTGACCTGTGAAAATGGTTCGCTACTCTCTTGACCCAGAAAACCCCACAAAATGTAAGTAGAACATAACTCCGTCTTAACTATTTTGAGGGGAACATAGCAATAAATCCAAAGTTAACAAAAACTTTTTTTTATTTTCTAGCATGCAAATCAAGAGGCTCAAATCTTCGTGTTCACTTTAAGGTATGGGAGTTGTGACCAAGATCTAGTTTTACATTTTAAGCTTTTACCTTAAAAGGGTAGCTGCGGTGATGTCTTTCTTAGGACACCTTTGGATTTACCGTAAAAAGTACTTTTTGGTTTTTTGAGACAGGGTCTCACTGTGTAGTTGAGTCTGACCTGGAACTCACTATGTAGCCTGGGCTGGTCTCAAACTCAGTGATCCTCCTGCCTCAGCCTCCCGAGTGCTGGGATTACAGGCGTGCGCCACCATGCCCAGCTGAAAATTACTAAATTCTGAGTGGCTACTTTTTATTTAGAAATTGATTATCAGGCCATAAGGAGATCTTTGATTTAGAATTTGAGGAAGTAATGCTATCAGAACTACTTCAAAGGAGTGCAGGTCAAGATCAGACCCAAAATTATGAATAAAACATGATGGAATTTAAACATTTTACTGTGAGTAAATTTAGGGTTGGGTTTAATTTTTCTTAACTACAAAGTCATCTTGTTTCGATGTTTGCTGTAAAAAAGTACTTTAACATGGTTAACCGAAACTTTAATGCTCATATTTAGAACACCCGTGAAACTGCCCAGGCCATCAAGGGTATGCATATCCGAAAGGCCACCAAGTATTTGAAGGATGTCACATTAAAGAAGCAGTGTGTGCCATTCCGGCGTTACAACGGTGGAGTTGGTAGGTGTGCCCAGGTGAGAATTGTTAGCTGGTATTTGAGAAGATGGAAAGGTGAAAGGGTGGGACAGTGGCTAAGACCTGCCTTTATCATCAGACACTTTCTGGTTGCTGTGATGACAGTCTTAGGACACCTTTGGATTAACCATGAAATAAAACATAGTCTGAGCAACTGAGATGTTGGACAAAATAAATTGGTCTTGATTCTAATGTTGGTTTAAACAAGGAAAATGTCTAATTGCTTCATTTTCTTTCAGGCCAAACAGTGGGGCTGGACACAGGGCCGATGGCCCAAAAAGAGTGCTGAATTTTTGCTGCATATGCTTAAAAATGCAGAGAGTAATGCTGAGCTTAAGGTACCCAAATCCTTAACATCTCTGTGTATTTATAGTTTGCTTATTTATTGTGTGTCTGTGTTTAGATGATTGCTTCACCTTTATGTCCTTGTTTGTATTAGTTCTCCATAATTATGTTTCATGCCAAAATTTTGTCCAAACCTTTTCATAAATAATGGTGGTCTTTTATTCTCGATGCTTGTAAGACATTTTTCCTTGCTGGGAATGTGTAGTTAGTGATGGAGCATTTGGCCCACCAACATTTAGGGACAAAAATAAAAAACATTTCTTTCTCCAAATAACCTGTAACCTTTCTTGTGCTGTGGACCTTTTTGGTAAAATAGTTGTCAAAGTGATTGCCTTATTAGTGGCTATGTGGTTTGATGCTTACATTTGTAAGGAAGAAAAATGTTGGATTTCAGATAAAAGTTAACAGTAATAGATGACAAAGCATGACTTTCTCTGTTACCCTTTTGCATCTGAGTCTTAACTCAGAGCTGGAATTACAATTTTATTATCAAGACTTAGAAATTGGCTCTACCTTATCCTACACTTCTCATCGCTCTTTGATGACCTTTAGACTCATTCACTCAAACACATACAGCCTGGCATAGTGAGACCCTCTCTCAAAACACAGCTTGTTGAAAGCCTGGTGCAGTGGTACACACCTGTAATCTTCACTACTTGGGAGGCTGAACCAGGCAGGTTGCAAATTTGAGGCCAGTCTGGATAATTAGGCAAAACCATCTCAAAATATAAAAGTCCAGTGTTACATGCAGCTCAGTGCTAAAAGCATTTGCCAAGATTGTGTAGGGTCCTGAATTCAATCCTCAGTACTGCAGCAGGAAAAAAAAAACAAAAAACTTTTTTTTTTTTAGATAGGGTCTTACTGTGTAGTTTAGGCTGTCATTCAACTGCTTATGTGTGGCCTGGAACACTAGGCTATCCTGTCTGTCAGCCTTCAGAGATCTGACATTATAGGCATGCATCACTACACTCAGATTTAGGAAATACTACCTGATTCTTGTCTTCTCTCTTCCCAGGGTTTAGATGTAGATTCTCTGGTCATTGAACATATCCAGGTGAACAAAGCACCCAAAATGCGCCGCCGTACTTACAGAGCTCATGGCCGGATTAACCCATACATGAGCTCCCCCTGCCACATTGAAATGATCCTTACTGAAAAGGAACAAATTGTTCCTAAACCAGAGGAGGAAGTTGCACAAAAGAAAAAGGTAAATAATTTAGTACCTCAATTTTGTTTATAACACTAGAAAGATTTGTGGTTGCTGTGATGACTATCTTAGGACACCTTTGGAATCACCATGAAAGGAAACTTGTTCTGAGCAACCTTTTAATCACTTTTTTTTTTTTTTCACTTTTATGAACCTAATTTGTTACTTGACTATGAACAGTTATTGCCTCACCTAGATTGCTTTGGCTATGTCAAAAACTTCCAGAGTACTATCAAGCTTATTTTTAGTAAATGAACATGTTTGGTTCTTAAAGCCAAGAACGAACCTGGGAATAATTCTGTAGTTTGCCCTTCACAGTCATCTACTGTTGATGTTACCATCTAAATATTACCCTCTCCTTGCTCTTGTAGTCTTTAGTAATTGGGCCTTTAGTCCTCAGCATAAGTTGAAGCCCTACTGAAATTTATTGTGTGTTTCTCCTAGAAACTTGATGGTCCTTTTTTTTTTCTTTCCCTAGATATCCCAGAAGAAACTGAAGAAACAAAAGCTTATGGCACGGGAATAAATTAACCATAAAATAAATGCAAATGAAAGTTATGTTACTTGTCATTATTAGTAAACATTTTAGATGTTCCTAAAAGATGGATCAACTGGGTTTAATTAATTTTGACTCAAACATGCTAGTTGTGGGTCTTGAGATATGGGGTATTGCCAACCAGTTACGGTAAACCTTTTAGATCCTTCAGTGATGACAGCTCACTACAGCACACATGGCATAGGTTCACCACCAGTGGTAGGCTGACTGAACTGGGCACAAGCCAGTCTGCTTTAGCCTCCCAATCTGCTGATATTTTTTTGCATAAAATGGAGTTAGAGCTTCTGGTTTAATAGCTCTACCAAGATTTAGAACACAGTTAACTAATATAAAATGCAATAGAACCAAGTGTGGTGGCACATGCCTATAATCCAAGCACTAAGGATGCTGAGGCAGGATTATCATGAATTTGAGGCCAGCCTGGACTACATAATAAAACCCTGTCTCAAAAACTAAATACAGAGCCTTTAGCCGCTTAATACAGTTAAACATCTAACCACCATAGTGTGTTGTGAAATATTTTTTGTAGTAGTCAGATGTCACAATCTAGGGTCTTAGAACTGAGCTGTGGGTTCTTGGTAAATTTCCTGGACAGATGTGCATTCTTACTAGTTTTCCAGATTGCTGGAATTGGAGTGGTGTGTACTACCACTTGCCTTAGTTTTTTGTAATCCACTGTGCTTATACTATGCTTGTGTTACAGATAGTGCTGCTGTAAACATTTCCATACAGATTTTTGTATAACTAGGGCCGGGGATTTAGCTCAGTGGTGCCGCCGCCTGCCTTGCAAGCACAAGGACCTGAGTTCGATCCCCAGTACCAAAAAAAAAAACAGATTTTTGTGTAAGCATATTTCCATTTATATTTTTCAAAAATGGATTTGACACCTGCAGTCCCAGGACTCGAGGCAGAGACTAGACCCCCATCTCAAAGGGCTGAGGATGTATCCTTGTAAAGGCCCTAGGTTCAGTCCCAGTATAGAGGGGTGAGGATGCAGGCAGTGCAGTTGATAAGTAACGTTGAAGATGACATTTTAGAGAGGCTTCATACAATTGCAATGTATGAGAGGTATAAGTTACATGCTTAGGTGGTTGCATCCTAATGGGTTTTTTCAAAATTTTTGGTGCTGTGTGTTGAATCCAATCCCTTCTTACAGAGCTATACCCCCAGGCCTTTTGAGTCCTGGTCTCAGTACCCAAGTCTGGGCTCTTATTTGACAACCTCTGTTCTGATGCTGAAGACTGAATCCCACATGCTAAGGATGCGGTATACCACCAAACTACATCCCAGCCTCTTAGTTTAAAGTTGACTCAAATTCTCCCGTCTTAAAATGCAGTACTTAAAGTAGGCTTAGCAAATAGCCAAAGCACAAGCGAGCCGTGAAACATTTCCTGTGGGTGTTAAGCCACTAATAGGCGTTATTTTCCTCAACGTTTTCCTTTTTCTATATTCAAAGATAAGATCCACCTCCTTTTTTCCCAGCAGAGCTAGAATGGCACATCAGGGAACCCCAGCCCTGCTAGGCAGCCTCCACCGGCACCGCCTGGGTGTCAACGTTAGGACCTGTACGTCCTCACGCTGCCGTAGCGCGCTCTTGTCAGCCCTTGCGAAGGTGCCCATTGGTTGAACAACCGCTTTTGGCCCTCCCACCGGAAGTGCGTTGTTTGTCGCCTGGACTTCTTGGTAGCCGGTGACCCGGGCTGTTGGAAGGTTCGTGGGGGTTTGGTCGAGGTGGTCTCTGCCCTCCGTGCCCGGCGACATCTGCGAGTGGCCAGCTCTAGCGCGCCACGTTCACACAGCCCCGGACTGGTGCGCAACTCCTGGAGGTTCAGCCTTGCGGCGACCTGTGCTCCAGTTCTCCGCTCCTGGCTCTTACGGTATATCTCGCTCCTTCGCATGCCCCACCACCCGGCCTCCCCTGCCAGTGCCTCCGGCCGTCCTAAGCCCTACCACCCTCCGTGCCCCCGCCCCACCTCTCCTTCGTTTCTGTTTCGTTCTCTGCCCTGGCCCCCTGTTGCCCTCATCACTTCCCCTCCGTCATCTTCGTCTTCGACCCCTCCCTGTGCCTTCCTGTCTTTTCAGTCGTCTTTGACTCAGCTTGTGTCCGTTGGGTTCCTTCGAAGCGACTTTCTCTTAGTCTTGGACTAACTCGAGTGAAAGATTCTTCTGCAGTGGTTTTAATCCAGTTTGCTCACTTTTGTTTGCTTGCAGAACAGTTAAAATGATGAGTTTCTCTTCGCCACCTACTAAGCTTTTCTAACTCGTTGGTGTAAACTGAATCATTTATGAGGATTAGGAGGTAAATACAAATAGCTTCTGGGGCTGGGGATTTAGCTCAGTGGTTCTGCTGCCTGCCTCGCTAATAAAAGGACCCGAGTTCAAGCCCCAGTACAAAAAAATTTTATAACAAATAGCTTCTGAACAGACCTAAAAGGTTTTACGAAAGCTGTAGTTGTGGCTTAAATGATTAGTAGCATTTGTTTTTGAACATTTATTTACGTGTGTGTGAACTTATTTAAGACAACTACAAAGGTAAAAACGAATATTCGTAGTGATCTGCCAGTCTCCAATTTAACCATGCTGTAGAATTTCAATCTGTTTTGAAGATTATATTTTTAAGATTTAGTAAAAAAATAATATAGCCCCAGTACAAAAAAATTTTATAACAAATAGCTTCTGAACAGACCTAAAAGGTTTTACGAAAGCTGTAGTTGTGGCTTAAATGATTAGTAGCATTTGTTTTTGAACATTTATTTACGTGTGTGTGAACTTATTTAAGACAACTACAAAGGTAAAAACGAATATTCGTAGTGATCTGCCAGTCTCCAATTTAACCATGCTGTAGAATTTCAATCTGTTTTGAAGATTATATTTTTAAGATTTAGTAAAAAAAAATAATAATAGGGGCGGGGATTTAGCTCAGTGGCTCCGTGCCTGCCTCACAGTGCAAGGTCCTCAGTTTGATCCCCGGTACCAAAAAAAAAAAAAAAAGAAAGGAGAAAGACCATTGTGATTTTTGAAGAAGGCAGTTTAGAGCTAGGAACCCAGAATTGGAAATTCCGGTTTAGCCAACTCTGTTAACCTCTTTGTGAAAGCTGTTATCAACAATTTTTGTATCTATTTTCCTTTTTTAAGTAACAGTATGTGAAGACACTGAGTTTTGTATCACATTACCCAGCCCATACTGCATTCCTGAGATGGGATACTATCTTGGTCTTACACTTAAGGGAAATAAAGTGCAGTCTGATTAAATAATTTGCCCAAAAACACCATGTAGAAAGCAGGTCTCAAGGTGAAGCAGGTCTCAAGTCCAGGCATCTCTAGTGGAATCTGTGTTATTACTAAGCCATGGTACCTGTAAGAAGGTGCACCAAAAACCTTAACCAGATCACCTCTGAAGTCTCTGTAGGTCACATTCTAAATATCTGTAGCCAAAAATAATCCCTTTAAAAAGGCTAAAAATCATGGCTCATTTAGCTTATTTAGCTCAGCGAATATGTTGTTTGTTTGAGACAGGGTCTCACTGTGTAGTTGAGACTGACCTGGAAGTCACTATATAGCCTAGGGCTGATCTCGAACTCACAGTGATCTTCCTGCCTCAGCCTCCCGAGTGCTGGGATTATAGGTGTGTGCCACCGCACCTGGCTGAGAATATGTTCTTTAAAACTTTAGAACAGATTGCTTTGATAGATTCTAAAATTGTTATTTTAGTATTTCGAAAATCATAAAATCAGCTTGGCATGGTGGTGCATGCTTATAATCCCAGCACTCATGAGGTTGAGGCAGGACAATCATGATAAGTTCGAGGCCAGCCTGGGTTACATAGTTGAGTTTAAGGCCAGCCTGCAATACACAGTGAGACCATGTTTCAAAAAAACAAAAAGATAAATAAAAACAAATTTTAACCTCTTGAATTAGGTTTTATACTGTTCTTTTTTTAAATAAATTTTATTTTACTTTATCCCATTCTCCCTCTCAAGCCTCCTCCCCTCCCTTTGTACAAAAGCTTTGTTTCCACTTTTTTCTTCTATTTTCACTTTTTTTCTTGTCCCTTCATTCCTTTCTCCCTCCCTCCTCCCTTATTTCCCTTCCCATTTGAGCACTTTCTTCCCTTTTCCCAACATCCATTATACATTTCAGTCCTTATTTCCACTTTCGGTTTCTCACACCAGAGAAACAATACAGTATTTAAACATGTTACACACTATTCTGAAGCTTGTTTTTTTTTTTAATTGTCCATCCTACTCCTGCCTTACTGGATATTGAAGCTCAGGCCTCACGCATGCTAGGCAGGTGCTCTAGCACTGAGCTATATATCTTTTATTTTGAATCAGAGTTTTGTTAAATTGTCTGGGCTTGCCTCCACTTGAATCCTCCTACCTCACTTTCCCAGGGTGCTAGGATTACAGGCCTGTCCACTACACGCAGCTTCAAGTTAAATTTTACTCCGCACACCTTAATTTATGTCCTTATAAAGAAAAGGGGGTTGAGGGTGTAGCTCAGTGGAAGACCACTTTCCTTGCATGTGCTTGGCCCTGTTCAAGTACCAGCACAGGAGGGAGTATGAGGGAGAGAAAATAAAGTATATCAGGAGAGTTGTTGGTAGGCGTGGTGGCACGTGCCTGTAATCCCAATACTCCAGAGGCTGAGTCAGGAAGATCACCAGAAGTTTGAGGCCAGCCTGAGCTACCTAGTGAGTTCCAGATGATCCTGAACCATAGTGAGAACCTGCCTCAAAAAAGCAAGACAAAAGAGAGTTGTTGCCTGAGAAAGTTGATTTTTACCCTAGGAATCTTCCAAAGTGATACCTTGGTAAGTTTCGTATTACAGAATTTGTCTTTAATGTTGTAAGATCTGGCTAATTGATATTGTCAGACCCTGAAGCTTAAAACTGGGGAGTTAATTCACCCTGTGTATCTACAGTTTATTTTTATTATTTATTTATTTTGTTTTTTTATGATTTTTTTTTTTTTTTTACCCGGGATCAAACTTATTTTGGTTTTTTGAGACAGGGTCTTGGTATATAGTCCAGGCTAGCCTCAAACTCATGGCGATGCTCCTACCTCTGCCTCCCAAGTGCTGGGATTACAGGCCACCATACCTGGAAGCAGCATTTTTAATACACTCTTAAAAAATAAGGCTTTAAATTTTTTCTTCATTGTAGATTTGATTCCTTAATCTAGGTAAAGTCCTTCCATTGCTCCTCTAAGGTGAACTGATTCTTCCTTCATATGTATCAGCAGCTTAGGAGCTCAAGCCTGTGACAATGGTGTGCATTCCTTGCATAGTCATTCCCGTTCTGCTCTGGATCTACAAAAAATTCCTGGAGCCATACATATACCCTCTGATTTCACCTTTTGTTAGTCGTATATGGCCTAAAAAAGCGATACAAGAATCCAGTGATAAAAATAAAAGCCAAGGAGATTATAAGGTAAGAGTTTCCAGATGCCTTGAATAAGGTAAAGGGGTGGTTCTTGGGTAATACTTGGTTTTAAGAAGGGCAAATTTTTATTTTATCCCATTCTGCCCCTCCCATCAAGCCCCTTCCCCTACCTATGTACAAAAGCTTTGTTTCCATTTAGAAGGGCAAGTTTGTAAAATAGGAAGCTTCAATAATTTGTGTCAACTCAAGTCAGTAATATTTGGCTTAACCTAAGGTTTTTGTTTTGGTTTTTTGAGACAGGGTCTCACTATGTAGTTTAGACTCACCTGGAACTCACTATGTAGCCCAAGCTGGTCTCAAACTCACAGCGATCCTCCTGCCTCAGCCTCCCGAGTGCTGAGATTAAAGGTGTGTGCTAACACCTGGCTAATCAGTAATATTTGGCTTAACCTAAGGTTTTTGTTTTGGTTTTTTGAGACAGGGTCTCACTATGTAGTTTAGACTCACCTGGAACTCACTATGTAGCCCAAGCTGGTCTCAAACTCACAGCGATCCTCCTGCCTCAGCCTCCCGAGTGCTGAGATTAAAGGTGTGTGCTACCACACCTGGCTAACCTAAGGTTTTAAAGGAGGCCTCTGATGAATGCATTTGTCCCTTGCTTTACATCCAAAACAAATTGAAGGCTTTTTGAGAATGAATAGACAACTCTATTGTCTTCAGCATTGGTGATTGTTGGGTTCACCTTTGTACCACTGTGCTCATTTAGTCAACCTACACATTTCTGGAAGCAAAATTGTTTATTGTCTGTTTTTAGAGTATGACTTTTATAATGACTATCTTTTTTGGTATTCTAAAATTGTTTTTTTTTTCATTTTAGGGTGCAGGCATAAGTGGATCAGCAACAAAAGGACCAACAGAAATCTCTGATAAAAAGAAAGACTGATGCCGTTTTCCCAAAGGATCTCAATTTTTTAAAATGGACCTGACAATATGAAGCACCTTCTTTGTAATTATTTCTGACCTTTTGCTCTGAGACCTGAATTCAGGATATTCAGTTTAGATATTCACCTGATACTAACCAGGAAATACATAATATTTATATTTAAAATGTATTTAGTTGTCTTTAATGACCTCATTCCTAGTTCTTTGTTTATTAACGTAGCTTTCATTTCCAATAATATGAACAAATTGAAGGTTTGTGCAGTAGACATTTTGTTACTAAATCAGTTCTTAAAATCCTTCAGCCGCTAGCATTTGTTCACATGAATTTTACTGCTGTGTGCTCTAATTTCTGTGGGTTTTTATACTTTGAGTAAATTATACCATGAAACAGATGACAGTGATGTGAAACATAGAAGTATAATTACTGTCCAACATAATGGAGCAGTTTATCCATGAGAATAGTAACTATTACTTATTGCTCTGAGAAAAATAGAAAAAATGGGAAATAGAAAATTTATTTGAAAAATGAAACATCTTTTACATAAATGTCCAGTATATTAATTTTAACTCCGTGGCATTCCTTCTATTCCTACAAATGTATTAAACATTCAATTTATCTAGTGGCTCTTTAGTCTTTTAAAGTCTTTATTTGAAAGGATAATTTTTCACCATGTCACAACACAGTTTTAATAATGTGATGGTGTCTGGACAGTGGTGGTACAGAAATTAGCTTTTACTCCCTAACAGATACTCTAAAATGGAATGGTTTCAGCAGTGACTTGACTGGTCTGAGTTCATGTATACAACTGGGAGTCTGGTGTTTCATCGTGGGCTCCCTCACTTCAGTGTAGGTATCTGTAGATATTCAGAGATGATGAGCTCCATCTTTATGCCATATGTATTCTCTCTGAAGCAGGGAGAAATTAGAAGGGCCTGTTCTTGTGTCCCCAGTGAAGTCCATCATTTCATAGAAGGCAGTAGGTCTCAATTTTCTGGCCCAATCCACCTAAAGATAAAGTATATTAGCAACCATATTTAGCTGATTAATTCTCTTTCTTTTCTCTTTTTCTTTTTTAAATTTTTTTGGTGCTGGTACTGGGTTTTGAATGTACAACCTGCATACTCAGCAAGTGTTAATACCACTGAACTACATCCCCAGCTTTAGTAGTTTCTTTTTATGGTATGAAAACTATATTATAAAAATAGCAGACCTTTGTAGTAAAACAAGAGCGTATTAAATGACAAGTTAATGTATCTTAATTCTCTTCTTCCCAAGCCACAATTTTAACTATTTAGTTTTTTGTGAAGCCCTCTAGCAATTTATTGAAAACTTTATCGAGTACACATATAACTTGTTTGATATGTCCTTAGTCCCCAAATGCTTTACTCATTGAGATTTTGTTTTTGATATTATCTCTACATTTCTAAGCTATACAGTGATGCCTCAGTTCATGAACTTAATTTGTTCTACAATTCCGGGGAAGATGGCTACATTCGTGTTCATGTGCAGAAGACGGCTGTGGTCATGTGCAGAAGACACCAGATGTGGAGGTGACAAACCAAAGCAAATTTTTGCTAAATGCTTCTGTTTGTGAACTGAATTGTACATGAACAGAAGCATTCATGAACTGAGGTGTCACTGTATATATGTATGTGTGTACAGTATATAGTTTGTTTTTTTTTAACCAGTTGCATCTCGGAGACCTTTTGGCTAACATTAAGTGTTTTTTAACCAGTCTCAATGTAGCTCAGACTGGTCTTAAACTCATGACCTCTTGTCTCAGCCTCCTGAGTATGGATTACAGATATGCCACTGCGCCAGCGCTATTCTGTTTGTTTTATTTTTTATTTTTTTACTTCTGTTCGTACATGTTTGCAGTACATAGTCATTACGTTCATTGAGGAAAGTTGCTACATGTATATAATACATCTAAATCCCACCCACCCACCAGCGATCAGCTCAGGGCCTTGTGCTTGCAAGGCAGGCGTGACGCCACTGAGCTGAATCCCCAGCCCATATCTAAATTCTTTTCACTTCCCCTTCCCCTTCCCTCCCTGCTCCCTCCTTTTCTAGATTCCCTTCCCATTTGCAAAGGATCTATCTCCTTATTTATACTGCTATTTTACAGGACTGGCTTTCTGTCATGGTTGAAATGCAGCTGTCTTATGCTCCCTCTGTTCCTATACATCTTCCCTGTGTGTGTGCTTTTTTCTTTTCTTTTGGATTAGAGTGGGGGATGCTGGGGACTGAAACCAGAGCCTTATGCATGCTAAGCATATACTCTACCACTGAGCTATACTCCCACTCCCTATGCTTTTATCAATTTTCTGTAAGTCATTAATCAGCATTTATATCTTTGTCCTGCTTTTCTGCCCAAGAAAGCTGCACGAGTTATGTCAACAGGCTTCCCATTCTTCTAGGTTCTGCTGGGTTTATGCCCAGCAAGAGATGCAGGAGTAAGAGGACATGGTGTAAGAGGTGCAGGAGTAAGAGGACCATGGTTCCCTTGGTCCTCTCCCTGCTAGGTCTTTGCAGGCCAGCTGTTCCTCAGCCAAGACACTGGCATCTTCAGGAGGACGAAGGTGGCCAATTGCATGGGACTGTTCAGTTCTCCTAACCTCTCCCTCTTGCCATTTCGGGTCTAGAGATGGTAGCATCTTTACTGGCTCTGGGTGCCATCTGCTTGCAAGGACCCTGATAAAATGAGTATGTAATACTGCACGCTGCACAGGTAACAATAGCATGCTACAACTGAACTTCCTTTTACGTGCAAGTATTGTTTTTCCTGGAATTACTGGTTACATTTATCTTCCCATGCTTCTCTTATCTAGTTGCGTAACTGGCACACAGTTCATGCTGAGGACTTGCCTTTACTTATTTTTTTCTGTAGCACACCAGTCTTCCAATTCAGTGCTCTTGAGTGTCTGAGGATAAGAAATTTTGAAGTATTTCCCAGATGATTCCAATTCACTGATAACCTCTTTCCTGAGAATTACAGGTCTCTTAAGGACTTTTTATTTCTAACAGACTCTCTCTAGGGCACTGTTTCTCAGTCTTGTAGTTGTGATACAGATAACATTTTTAAGCGTGGGGGTAACTAATATACAGTTGCTGTTTTTTTCTAAGCTAGAATGTATGTATGTATATATGTGCGACAGGGAGGGTCTTAGTAAATTACCCAGACTGACCTTAAACTTAGAATCCTCCTGCCTCAGCCTCAGCCTCCTTAGTAGCTGGGACTACAGGTACATGCTACCATACCAAGTTCTAGAATAATTTATATATAATATATAAATGTATATATGTGTGTGTGTGCATGTGTGTGTGTGTGTGTGTGTGTGTATACATTATATGTTTTGTTTTTGTTTTTTGAGACAAGGGCTCACCATATAGCCCAGGCTGGCTTCAAACTTGTGATCCTTCTCCCTCAACCTCCTGAATGCTGACATTACAGATATGTGCCATTACGCCTGGCTTAGAATATATTTAAGAGCTACAGTTTATCACCAGTTTTTCATAAAAGACATTTTAACCACAAATGTTCTTTAAAAAATAAGAATAACAACAGTGGCTCTTAAGGCAGGGCCTGGTGGTATATGTCTGTAATCCCAGTACTCAGGTAGCTGAAGCAGAAGGATTGCCCTAAGATGAAGGCCAGCCTGGGCTACATTCTGAGTTTAAGGCCAGGATGAACTACAGAGAAAAACCCTGTCTCAACCAAAAATAAATAAATAAATTTATGAAAGCTCTCACTATTTTGCCCATACTGTATTTTTCCAGTTTTTACAGCTGATTGGAAAAAGCTATCAGCTGACCTTGCATTATATTTGGTGGCTGTAGTTGTATACCATACAAGTGCTCTCTTGCTCCAAAATATCAGTTCTAAAATCTGCCATTCTATACACTGGAGCTGCCTTCCTGGTGAGAACTATCATTTGTTAAACACCTTGTGCCTGACCTTGTGCAAGGTATTTCACATTTGTGAATGTATCTGATCTTCATGAAACTCAGTTCAAAACACCAGCTGACAGCTTAAATGTCTTATGGCAAATCTACTTAACACACATTTCAAGGTCACACTCATAACAAACACTGAGGAGCCCTGAACACAGTTTCTAATACCGTGATGGCAACACTTTACTGGGCAGAAATAGGATGAGTTTCGACGAAACAGTATGTATTGGTGAAGTTTTTTTTAAAATTCTAATTTTGTTCACCTTGCAGCATGACTTTTTAATTTACCTACTTTTCAGTAACTTATTTCAGGCTTAGTAAATTTTAAATACATTTGTGAGTCAAGCTCATTTGCTCAGGTAATTATTCAGGCTCACTTGAGAGACTCTGGGGCTTTGTCACATTTTCTTTTTCATTACTGAGCTTCCTTCCTAGGAAACATGGGTGAGTCAGCACTTTCTCAAAATGACCATGCACCTGTATGCTGACCTGTTTGGCAGATTGACTGGACTGAGAACTTAACCACTGCTCTGAGTTCTTCAAAACCCCATGGAGCTAAAGGTCCTGGGTTCACTCACAAAGAAAGAGGAAGCCTTCCTCACTGTGCTGTTTCTTGGGAGGAGTGTTCATCTTCACCTTTCCTTGGACATTGTCTCCTGGCTTTCAGTGCAGATCTTTTTGGTCTGATAGGCACTCGCACAGGAGATTACAGTGAGTTCCAAGCCTTCGACCAGCATAGACAGCCCTTTGGCACTCTTCCCCACCTGGCTGTGGGTGGCTATTGTAAGCCAATCTTGGAAGTTCTTAGGTATTTGTATATCTTGCATTGTTCGTTTCTCTAGCAAGCACTGACTGATACATGTATAATGTGGTTTTCTATTATGGGATAAGAACTTACCACTAATTTAGGGGCTTAAAACAGCATAAATTTATTACCTCACAGTTTTTGTGGGTCAGATGGCCCAAAATGGTGTAGCTGGCTTAGAATGTCACTGGGTCAAAGTCATGATGTTGGCCAAGTCTGTGGTTTTCATCTGGACTGGTGGCCTTGCCCAATCTCAATGGTGTCAGCAGAATTCTTTTCCTTGTGTTTCTGAAACTGCAGCCCTTGATTTTCAATGAATCAGCTGGGGTCTCCTCAGCTCCCACAGGCTGCTCCAGGTTCCTTGGTGCAGGGTTCTCCATATGTTCCCAATACTGATGTTCTCTTCCAGCCCAGCT